GATTTCAAGTCGGACATATAAAAGTCACGTGACAATATAATAAAGATTTTGTCGATTTTTAACAACAAATTGAAGACTCGAAATTTTTATGAAAATCGAAATGTGATGTTAAGGTACCATAATCTGTCTCGTACTATTGGAAAAATATTAAAAACTTATAAATAAAAATTTTGGTTTGCATTACTCATAACCAAAATTAATCATATAATTAATTGACAACGTGCATAAATAGGCCTTGTGATTTTTAAAAGAAATTGCCTAATTCGTTTCATAATAGTCTTTTAATCCATAATGTAATGATTAAGAGCAAGACACATTAACACACATGCCGACACCCATGGAAACTTTTGACCAATATGCATTGTTTGTAATTATTGAAGATTTAGTAACTTTGGACAATGAATAAATGTGCCCAAAAAGATTTAACACTTGTGCTCGAAATCTATTAAAATTTATTAAGTATTTAAATCATAATTCAAAAAATCCTTTTGATTAGTGAAATTTTTTGAAAGCCATGAGTTCTTAAAGAATCTATTAGATTCTTGGGGATGCCTTCTAACTTGGGATAATTAAAATTATATTGATATTTAAAATTCATTAAAATCGAAGTTATGAACTTCTCCAGTTCTTTTGAAAATTTATATTAATGTTCATACCTATTAATTTTCTCTTCTCAATAGAAACAAGAAAAATTATCTCCTCTAAATTTAAGTTATTCACTCGAATTATTTCCGTCAATGTAGCCAGACATGATTAAATTCAAAACCATATTAGGTCATGGAGATGCTTATTTTTCACAATATGACATTACTAACTGCATGTTTGGAAGTGTCGGCATACTGGTTATGAGCTTTTTTTAAAGTACTGATTATGAGCTTTTTTGAGCGGACAACTTCTGAATGGTTTTAGTAGTGATTTTTAAACATTTCAACTCATACTTAAGAGTTTATTATCCACCGATTCTGATTTTTTTTTTTTAAATAAAGTCTTTTAATGAAATTTTCAATTTATATTTTCTTAGATGAAAATTTTTACTCATAAGTGATATTTTATTTTTATGTAATTTTTTTTATAGATAAGTTAATATTTAACTTAAAAAGTTAAATATTTACTTAAAATTTTATGTTAGTGTTTTTTTAGTTATAAATAAACTTTTCAATTATAAGTTTAATATTGTAACTTTAAATAATTCTTACTCATGAGTGAATCTTTACTTATAAGTAAGTTTTTATATTTTACACGTGATTTTTTTGATTTATTAATAATATTTATACACAAAAAATACGTTCGGGTTGAAAATAATTATTTTATAAGAGGTATTAAAAGAGAATTTGAGAAATGGTTAAAACCGTCAATTTAGTGGGTTGAGAAAATCAGTCAAAATTACACGATACATTTTTTTGTGATTTTTAAACCATTCAAAATCGATGCCCCAAAAAACTAGCAAGCACATGTTCTTTAAATCCATCATAAACGGTGTCACCCAAATTCGGTGAAAATAAAACTCTCAAGCATGCTCTAATTGTACTTTTCTTTTGATTCCAAACATGTGAATAGAATAATGATATTTAGTACCAGTGGTGCTAGAACATCAATTTATATGACATTATATTATTGATTCAATTAAAAGTGAAATTATGTGATTTATTTAATTGACCTTTTTCATTTAATGCTACTAGCGATGCCACTTAAACTGGTTCTAGATAGCATTACTCGTGTGGATAAGATAAGATAGTTGTGGTCTTTCATTTTATGCCAAATCTTTACTTATTTGTTTATTTTTGAGATAGAGATCGGATCAAAGTTAAGATAATTAATTCTCGCTCTTCTGAATTATAATCGATAATAACTTTTATTTATTTTTTCTTATCTATTTACTTCTTGCCCCTTAAAAATTTTAGTTGAAAAATATTTCTTTTATTTATTTCTTTTTATCTATTTTGTTCACTTAGCGAATCCATTCGATCTCTAGAAATTAAAAGTGACTATATGAGGATGATGTGCCAAATCTTAATTTCGAATCCTCATCAGCTCTCCGACAATCTTTGTTGACCCACATTTGACCAACCTCAACTAGACCCAAAATTGGACATGCTATTAATGTTAATGTTTGGTGAAAATTAAAATTAAAATCTTAATTAAAATCAAAGTCAATAATTAATTTTAACCACGCATGGAGCGGAGTTAGGATTGTATTTAACTTAAAAAGTTAAATATTTACTTAAAATTTTATGTTAGTGTTTTTTTAGTTATAAATAAACTTTACAATTATAAGTTTAATATTGTAACTTTAAATAATTCTTACTCATAAGTGAATCTTTACTTATAAGTAAGTTTTTATATTTTACAAGTATTTTTTTGATTTATTAATAATATTTCTACACGAAAAATACGTTCGAGTTGAAAATAATTATTTTATAAGAGGTATTAAAGGAGAATTTGAGAAATGGTTAAAACCGCCAATTTAGTGGGTTGAGAAAACCAGTCAAAATTACACTATACATTTTTTTTGTGATTTTTAAACCATCCAAAATCGGTGCCCCAAAAAACTAGCAAGCACATGTTCTTTAAATCCATCATAAACGGTGTCACCCAAAATCGGTGAAAATAAAACTCTCAAGCATGCTCTAATTGTACTTTTCTTTTGATTCCAAACATGTGAATATAATAATGATATTTAGTGTCAGTGGTGCTAGAACATCAATTTATATGACATTATATTATTGATTCAATTAAAAGTAAAATTATGTGATTTATTTAATTGACCTTTTTCATGTAATGCTACTGGTGATGCCACTTAAACTGGTTCTAGATAGCATTACTCGTGTGGATAAGGAAGATAAGATAGTTGCGGTCTTTCATGTTAGGCCAAATCTTTATTTATTTTTGAGATAGAGATCGGATCAAAGTTAAGATAATTAATTCTCGCTCTTCTGAATTATAATCGATAATAACTTTTATTTATTTTTTCTTATCTATTTACTTCTTGCCCCTTAAAAACTTTAGTTGAAAAATATTTCTTTTATTTATTTCTTTTTATCTATTTTGTTCACTTAGCGAATCCATTCGATCTCTAGAAATTATAAGTGACTATATGAGGATGATGTGCCAAATCTTAATTTCAAATCCTCATCAGCTCTCCGACAATCTTTGTTGAACCACATTTGACCAACCCCAACTAGACCCAAAATTGGACATGCTATTAATGTCAATGTTTGGTGAAAATTAAAATTAAAATCTTAATTAAAATCAAAGTCAATAATTAATTTTAATCACGCATGGAGCGGAGTTAGGATTGTAGAGCTGTGGAGGGCAAATTTTTATAACTAAAATCGTAGGCACAAAATCTTAAAGTACAAAATTTATATTGTAAGGACAAAACAGATAACTATAAGAAATTTAAAACATATTTTTCATCGTGTGCCTATTATCTCTTCTTAATTGTAGTGTTCAATCCCAATCTCAAATCGAGAGACGAACATTTCTTTTAACATAAATAAAGGCTCCCCTCCCAACCCATCTAAGTTTTCAAAAAAAAAAAAAAAGGAAGTTATAAGTAAAAAAAATTACACATTAATTCAGCTTAAAATTTTTTTTAGTCCAATCTTGAATCGACACCTATTAATGATTATCTTTTCGAAATGTTGGTTCAACTTAAGGTTTTTCATACTCGATAGAACGAAGGTTGACATTCTGCCCAAATCAAGTAAAACTAAGGTCGTGCAAAGAGGTTACGATCTAATCTATAATGCGGTCTTTAACTCGGAGGACGGTTAAAGAATTTTAAATAAAAGAGTTTACCAACATGATACGAATTTGAAATTGGGTGACCTCGAACGAAATTTTCCTAAAATCCACCCTAGATCAATGTACTTCCTCCTTTATAATCTCTAAGCCGACTGTAATCTCTCCCTCTCTGTAAAACCTGGTTTTTCGGACCAGGTATCTCTACTCTGTCCCTCTCTGAAACGTACGGCTTGAGGGAGGATAGTTAGGAGAGATTTGAAAAATGAACGGTGGAGATTCGAATGAACAGAATCAGCATCAGCAATGGATGGCGATGCAACAGTACCAGCAGCAGTGGATGGCGATGCAGTACCCAGCGGCGGCAATGGTGATGCAGCAGCAGATGATGTATAATCAGCATTACGTGCCGTACTACCTTCACCAGCAGCAACAGTACCTACCGCACCAACAGCTATCGTTGCAGCAGAAAGAGAATAATCAGATTCAAAGCTCCAGTGAAGATAACAAGACGATCTGGATTGGTGATCTCCACCAGTGGATGGATGAAAGTTATATACAGTCTTGCTTCGCTCAAACTGGCGAGGTATAGTTTACGCTTTATTCTGATGTCCATATACTGTATTTGACGCTGATAATTATGGTAAAGTTTGGCTGTACCTGGGAGTTATTTAATAATTAACAGTTGTGTTTTTGTGATTAATAGAGTGTTTAGTGGAATGAATTACTATGTAGAGTAATTAAAGCAATCTATCATTATTATTACTCCCAGCGTCCCAATTATCCAATTATGGATTAAGAAAGCTTCTTTAATACCATTGAAAAATTAATTTTTGCCAAGATTTTTTACAGTTTATCCCAATTTAATTTTCAGCATATAAAACTAAATTATTGTTGGAATTAATAAAGAATTTGAACGATGTAATTTGACTAGAAGAAGAACGGAGAGTTGTTCCATGTTTCCAAGAAGTGAGAAATGTGTGTATTTGGATGATTTCAAGAAGTTGGCATATTAAGTGGGGGAAATTTGATAAGGGTGTATTGGTAAAGGAACACAACAAAATATTCTCCATTAGGAAAAAGGCTTGTATATTTGGGACAATTGAAAAAGGAAACTCAACCTATATAATTAGGACAGAGGGAGTATTTTTTTCCCTTTAATGAATACGTCTAAAATTTGCTTTTTGAAAGAAATCAGTAGCAGAGTTCAGATCTCATTTAATACATTCGGGATAACAGATAAAGATAGGAGATATATTGCTTCTTTATTATGAAAAGTTTTTGGTAACATTTCATCTGACCCACGTACAAGAAGTTTTTAAATTCTCAATTAATCTGTTTAGGACGAGATGTTAGAAAGCATTTGAAATTGGGGGAATACGTCATGCTTCCATAGTTATGATTGTTAGGCAAGCTACTGTAAAGCTGCAGATTTGGGTGCATCTTTCTGTTGGGTTACCCTCAACTAAAAATCTGATTACATTATGAGTCAAAGATAACAATTAATGTTAGAATTATGCTAAGTGTACATTGCATGTTATATACTTTTGTTGACGTTACTTGGGAATTCAAAATGTGTTTGGGCAGGAAAGTTTTTTTTTTCTTAATCACGTTACAACACGTGGCACAAGGTCAAAAATGATGTCAAATAAAATGTACATATAGCATGATTGTTAATTTTAAGCACACAATTTATGGAACCCACAAGCGCTACAACTTTTTAATAACACATTCTATCAACTTTTTTCGAAATGTACTTAAAACCTAATTTTTATCTAAACCAACCAAGGCTTAAACTTCTAATCAAAATTCTATAAAATAAGCAAGTTCTTGAATCATGATCATTGTAATTCTGCTACAACCATCTTGTTATTGTTGTTGAAGAGAAATTACCATAATTTACTTAATTCACATGATAACAAGTATGATTCATAGCAAATCATTATTAAAATGTTCGTGTAAATTTGGTTCTTGACAAGTAACAGCCAAAACATAGTTTGAAACCTTTCTATATGCTACCTGTAAGTGTGAAATTATACTATCCCAATGCTTAGTTGAAAATAGATTGATTTTGAGTTTATAATCTTGCTTCAATGCGAGCACTGTTACGTTGTGGTTAAGTGCCCCCATGATCAAAGAAATGATGAAAAATCATCTCCATATCAATATCTAGCGTAGCTTTTTTTCTACAACCCTTTCTCAGTTGTATTCCCTTTTTTGCGAATCATCAATGCTTAAACATAATATTCACTCTCTTTAGCAACATCTGGGATGAAGACAAATCTAAGCAACTTGTTTTTAGGTTATAGTGGGGTTTGAGTATAGTTGGTAGTTTAGGTCTTTTACTCCTTTTTCTTAGACAGTAGTTTAAGGAGACTTGAGCTCATTGGAGATTTCAATTCTGAAATAAAGTTCTTAGGGGCATATACATTGTGTTGTTTTCTATCATCTAATTCCTCTGGGCAAAATGTACATTCCGATTTGACTATAAAGGCTATATAAATGTTATCCATGGCCATCTTATAGATATATCCATTTATGTTTTACATAATGGTTTTCTTTACACTTAGAAGTTATATGATATATTGATCTATAAGAAGTTAAGTTGTCCGAATCCACACACAAAAAAATCAAAATAAATAATAAAAAATTTAAAAAATAATAATAATAATAAAAAAGAAGTTTAGATGATGAATGATGAGCTAACATTTTAAATATAATTTTTTTCTCCAATTTGAGATGCTTCATTGCACGTTCTGTGCTTTTTTTTTTTTTTTTTCTTGGAGACCTGCATCAGAAATAAGATTTTGATGAGTGTGATATAAGGGGTTATATATATGAATTCCTTTTGTAGACTTGTAAGGCATATTATTGTAGTTGGTATGATTTTTTCTTTCTTTTTATTTGGCTCCCTTGGATAAAGCAAGTAAAGACTAAGAAATTATTAAAAGACAAAAGCAGCTTCATCCTGGTATTTTTGTACCCAGTACAGAGCCATCATAAGTCAAGTGTAGTGTGTCAGGCACTTTTAGGCAGATAAAGGCGTTACCACTCCGTCGTCGTATGAGTGCTTAACGTTAAGAGTCCATGAACAACCAGTGCCAGTGCCAGTGCCATCTTGTCTTCCTGCCTTTTACCGCTATTAAGCGTAATAAGTTTGGCTGACTTTTTTCTTTCTTTATATAGTAAACTCTATTACAAATTGAGAAAGTTGGTTTGTGTGGCTGGGGGTAGGGGGATTGGGGGCATGTCTAACAGATGTTCTTTTGACAATGTATTTATTCTTGTATTTAATGGATTTCCCTGATCTAAGTGCTTGTTTGGGAGTGATTAAATTCTAATTTAGGGTGCAAGTCCCAGAGAATGTGTGGATAATAATAATAAGTTGTTGGTCCATAGAATGTGTGGGTAAAAAGTGTGTTTGATTAGCTTAAATGATAATTAAGCTCTGCCAAACATTCAATTAGAAAGAGTCTGGGGAAATAGTCCATACACCTCTGCCTACCTCCACCACTGGTTTTAAAGATACTCTTTGTTGGCAAGCTGTCTGCTTTTAAAGGTCAATAGCTTTACAGGACACACATATCGTGCAAGCAACTGAGCTATTTTTAAATGCTTGATAAGAGATATCTGCAATTTATTACATGTTTTCCGGGTGCCACCAATAAATTGTGAAACAAGTATTTTACAAATTTTCATGCACCAACTATATGCCTCATATGTGCTTGACTAAAAAGAAAAATTCTAAAATGAATTTATTGAGACTCCTAGGGAACAAGATGTCTCTAATGGAGTGTGATAGTAATTTTGTTTGAGTTCTGGTAGCTGCACTGGTGACAGTCATCTTCTGATGCATGATAACTGAAATAGGCTATAAGTGAAGTTTTGTTTTTTTTACAGTAAACCATGTTGATCAGAAAATTGTAAATATTTGATGAGCATAATGATAAAACTTTATCTTTACCCAAAAAGTGGAAAAAGAAAAGGCAAGACTGATTGCCTTCAAAATGGACAAACAAACAGCCTATCATATTAAGTAATAACCTTGAAAATTGTAAACCGAGTTCAAGTAACTCTCTCTTCAGTTTAACTCTTGGGAGGGTAGGTAGGGCAGAAATTATATTTTCAAACTACGAAGCATGATCTCTCTTATTATGACAGTGTGTTTGTATCAAACACATGTCATGTTGGACAACGGCATTCCTCGAACACTCCAAGACGTGTTCGAGAAGTCACGTGCTATGTCATTTTCTATATCATTTTAAAATTCTAACTCTTGATGAATACTTTAGGCACGCTCCTCATGCAAGTGTCTGACGTGTCATGTGCTATGTTCTGTAATAAAAAGTATGAAAAATAAATATTTAATATATATACATGTAAAAATTTAAATAATTTAAATAGATGTGTCCCTATGTATTCGAGTCGTACTTTTTCAAAAATTACATGTCAGTGTGTTTGTGTCCCTGCTTCTTTGTTTTCAAGAGAAAAGATTGTGCTGCAGTAATTGAAAATGGCATCTGTTGAAAAAGGAACATAAACTCTCATTTTCTTTTATTTCCAAATTCCAGTCATATGCAACTCTTGCAAGTTGTTCCTTACAAAAATAGAAAGAGTTACAAGGTATTATAACAGTGACTCAATTTTGCTATCAGTAAGAAAGAGTAAATTCTCAACAGGGAAAAATTTATTATCATGCTGGAAAAGGGATAAAATATCCTAAAAATCCATGATTCACTGTATTTGGTCATTTGTATAAAGCAGTACCGAATTGCTACTGCCTGCTCATGTTTAATTGTTTCACCATATAATAAACTGCGAATAGAGCACTGATATGCAAATAATGACCATTGTCATTCTCTTTATGTGTAATGTTCTGGGAATATATTCTACAAGTGAAGTTCTAAGAGCATCATGTATCTAGTAGCACTCCATGAATGCTGTTGTATATAGACAAGCTTTTGCATGATAACCGTGCTTATCTATAGTGCAAGCAGATTATTTGTCTTTATTAATTTTTTGCTTCATGATTTCATTTATCTTCTTTGTTGGACAATGTAAACGGTTGAGAACGAATAGTACATACTCATTGTAATTAAATTCCTTGGAGTTAAAGGTCCCACGGTACCTTTATACAAAGGCACAGAAGAGAAAAGTAAAAACAAAGGAAAGTTTAGCAATCTGTAATGACATGAACATATGAGATCTATGAGATTGATATGATATTTTTTTCTCCATCTTTTGTTTTCTGCGTGAAATATGGACATTGCACTTTCGTGGTTGATATGTGGTAGTAGAATCATAAAATTACTACTGAAACTTCTATCATATGCCAAGCATATCTCTTGGATCTAATTCATTTTAGGTTCAGCACTCTGTTAGATCATGATCACTTCTGATATCAAAAAAACATGCAGGTTGTTTCTGTTAAAGTTATTCGTAATAAGCAGACTGGTCAGTCGGAGAGATATGGATTTGTTGAGTTCAGTTCTCATGCAGCAGCTGAGAAAGTACTCCAGAGCTACAATGGTACCATGATGCCAAATGTAGATCAAACATTTTGCCTAAACTGGGCAGCCTTTAGCTCGGGTGATAGGCGGCCTGATGCTGGCTCTGGTGGCTCTGGCGGCTTTGGTGGCTCCGACTCCGATTTATCAATATTTGTTGGTGATTTGGCTTCTGATGTTACTGATGTGCTATTGCATGAAACTTTTGCTAGTAGATATCCAACAGTCAAAGGTGCAAAAGTGGTTGTTGATTCAAATTCTGGCCGCTCNAAAGGTGCAAAAGTGGTTGTTGATTCAAATTCTGGCCGCTCAAAAGGTTATGGCTTTGTGAGGTTTAGCGATGAAAATGAGAAGAATCAAGCCATAACTGAAATGAATGGCGTATATTGTTCTAGTAGACCTATGCGAATTGGTGTTGCAACCCCCAAGAAACAATCGCCTCAGCAACAGTATTCTTCACAAGGTGTAACCTGAAAATTCCTTTTTCTGCATTGGTTGTGTCCTTTCTTTTCTATGTTATTTCTGTAGTATTTTTTATGAAAATTTATTCTTAAAAGCATTAGAATTTTTCTATAGTGGTATTTTTCTTCCTCCTGTCATTAGTCTTATGAAATCCAAAGGTTCTCTCTTAAAGAAATTTTCATTTTCATGCTGTCAATTAAATTGAAAATGAAATGCATATCAGTACTAACATCCTGACTTTTCTTTTTTCTTCAGCTGTAATACTTGCGGGTGGTTATTCATCCAATGGTGCTCTGCCCCAAGGTTCTCAGTCTGACAACGATTCATCAAACACAACTGTGAGTCTTGCTGCTTGTAGGAAGTTTGCTGTCTGAAATTTATTTAGATCATTAACCCTTGTTTGTTGCAGATATTTGTGGGTGGACTTGACTCTGATGTAACTGATGTAGAGCTCAGACAGTCTTTTACTCCATTTGGTGAGGTTATCTCCGTTAAAATACCAGCTGGAAAAGGATGTGGATTTGTACAATTTGCAAACAGGTAATGCCGTGGTTCTGGTATTGCATTGTTGAAATGCCAGCAAAGGGCAACATAAATTGTTGTTTTGTGGAGCATATCATTTCTACGAATTATTCTTGTGTATTAATATGAAAATTATTGTAAATTTCATGATTACAAAAACGTGGATAATCTTATTGATTATTATGGCATTTTTGCTTTTGGCGGGGTGGGGGTGGTGGGCGGGCATGGGGGAAGTAGACAACAGAAACTATTTTACTTTCAAACATCTTCATTGATACGAGTGAATATTATGCACTGAAAATTCGAAACCCATTTTGAGTTCTTATTCAGAACTGAAAACTCAAGTAGTTAATTTAACATCTTGAGTTTAGAGGGATTTGAGAATTTGAATGTCCTCATCCATAAAAATTGGCTTCCTTCTTACCAGTATGAAAAGGATATAAGTTAAAGTTTTACTTGTTTAGTAAGAAATGGTTCTCATATTTATTGAAAAATCAATTCGACGAATTATTCATCATAATGAAGTAAACCTAATGGCTATAGATTGAACTGCCTGTAAGTTTGTTTCAAATGTTTGGTTTCAAGGCTTGTTTGTCAAAATTTTGAAAGATCTTTTCCCCCAAAATCATTTCCAACCACACATTCTATGGGATTCACAACGTTTCCCCACTTTTTAACCCCACGTTCTTAAAAAATAAAATCATTTTTCCTTGAAAAAATGTGTGCCAAACAAGCTTTCAGAACCATGTTACGACCACTTGACTTTTCTGTTTCGACAGAAGCAATGCGGAGGATGCAATTCAGAGATTAAATGGAGCAGTTATTGGCAAGCAGGCAGTTCGTCTTTCTTGGGGACGAAATCCAGGAAACAAGCAGGTAAAATCTTTATTTGTTGATGAAATCATGTGATCAGGATATAGTTTTCACTTCTGACTTCCGTTCTCTGTTTCAGTACGAAGTTCTTATAATTTTTGGTGTTAACTGAACAGTTTCAGTTCTGTTACTCATGGTCCAACAACATGTTCAACTCAAATTAGAATTTTGAGTTCAAGATTGCTTTGAAATATGATACTAAACATGTTGGCGTTCATTTTTGGTTTGCATGCCAAAATATTTTATTAGTTGTTTATGACTTTTGGGTCCACATGCCAGAAATAAGAGAATGTTTTTGTTTCCCAGTTTTCAGTAATATTTCTGTACTGCTTCAAAAAATTTTTCTACTAATCATCAAATTTAAATATATATCATTTGCTTTTGGAACTCTTTACAATTTTGTTTCTCTGAAAACATTTTAAAATCGGGGGAGTGAAAAAGAACAGGGAATGCTTTCCAAAACTGACCCTTGAAATTGCAACTTATATTCTGGACTGCCTGTTGCCATACTGAAATTGAGGTTGAGACTTTTCTATCTACCAAAATTTACCTACCTCAACCCCTCAAAAAGGTGAAAAATGCACCGTTAGTCCCCATCTTATTGCCATGAGTAGCAAGTTGATCCCCCACTAGGAGTAAGTTGCTTTCAATCCTTCACTATAGTTGCACAATTAATCCCTGTCCAACTTGGGCAGGTGAGCAGAAATTTGAAGTGAGATGTTTCCGTGAGGGCACACCAAGATGGCTTAATGGTGTTTTGGATGAGTTCCATTAATGGAAACTCTGTGCAATTTTAATGTAAGGTTGAGAACCAACTTGTTCGTTTTTAAAGGCTTGGACTATTAGAGGCGTGATTGATTTTACAGCTTTGCTTTTATAGGCGTGATTTATGGCTTTCCTTCTATAGCTGCACTAGATCATGGATTGATTCTCAATTGTAATTTTGCTTCCTTGTATATTCCTATAAACGTGTATAAATGAAAGACAAAAACAAAGAAGAAAACATTCAGCATAGTGGCCTCAAGTTAGCATGGTATCAGAGCCCTAAAATCAATCACGCCTCTTATATGGACAAAATTGCTACTTAGGAAATTAAGCCTCTGTTTAGTAGCCATTAAAAAGTTATTTTTGGGGAAATGAGTTTTGAAATAGTGGTTTTTTTGAGAATGTGAGGTTGATTTACTTGCAAAATATTTTATTGTGTGAATGTGTGGTGGAAAACGAGTTTAAGAAAAAAAAGAGTTTTGAAAAAATTGATAACAAACAAGGGCTAAGTTAGGAACCAATGATTTGAGTTTCCCCTAAAAAAATGATAGAAGAACAAGTAATGCGCTCTTTCATTCTTTGGCCTTTCCAGTATTTTTTTCCTTCTCTCTTGTTGACTGTATTTGTATTTTCTACTTGTTTGGCAGTCGAGAATGGATGCTAATAATCACTGGAGTGGACCTTATTATGGAAGGCAAGGTTACAATGGCAATGGGTATAATGCAGGAGCAGTTTATGTGGCATCAAATGGCCATGGGAACCACCAGCAGCCAGTAAGTTGAATTACTAGACTGTGCTGATTGAGTTTATCTGAGAGACTAAATTAATGTGAGCATTAGAAGTGTGGTATGAAGAATTTGGTAGCTGGATTATATTTTATGAGGTGTGAGGATTTTTTATGACTTATTATTGAAATTTTGAGGTGATTTAAAGAGTTTTTCATAATAATTCGTAGCATATATTTATTCATTTATTCTTTTGGAGCTTTATAATTGTCTCGTGTTTTGTAGAAAAGCTTCGATATATACTTAGTTCTCATAGCTTGTACAAATAGTATCCTGAATTCGATGAGATTGTATTTGCATCAAAAAGAGGATACTCTAGTGAGATTGCTTCAACAAGCTGCTTCTGGCATGCTGTGTGCCTGAATGTTGAATTGAACTGACCAATTATTTTGTATGCCTCTGTTAATGATGTTCATTCCAATGCCAAATGCAACCTTACGTTCTAATCGTAGTTAACAGGTCTATTTATGCTGAAGAGAGTAGAGAACACGAGTTCTTGTGATTACACTTTTAGGTGTTTGATAGGGAATGTTTGGTATGCTTGACAATATAAAAACGAGGCATGATTAAAGAAAGAGAAATACATGTGATGTTTGTCCTATATTTCGTCTGGTCGAGCATATTAAACATCCCCAATGTTCTGGAACATTGATTTTCAGGAATTAGGTTTCGACTTTTGTGCTGCAGAACTCCCTCATTGTTTTGTTCACTTTGGAAGGACCAAGAATTGTGGTCTAACTGAAAGGCGGTTTTACTCCGGCCAAGCCACAAAATCCATTTTTGTGAAATTTCTCGCCTAAAGTTGTGTTGAGTTGATAGTTGGCATAAATTTTCGTTCTTCATGTCATTTATCGAATGCACATTCTGTTGTGGCATTTACCGTCTAGCTACTCTAGCTACTTTTCAACTTCCTGCAATTCTAGCAATCAGCTGATGCCTGATATGGAATCTCAAAAGGGATTCCTATAGTCGAATCTTGAGAATAGGGCTCAGTTTGTTGCACGCGTCTAGTTTTTTGCTTCCAGGTTCTGTCGCCCTGCATATTGCATCATTTTTTTCACAAGTACTTGTGTAAAGGATGCAGAGACTTTTGGTAACTTCCAGTTAAGAAAAACGAGTAACAAACTTTATTTACTGTAAAAAGAACATGTGGATTAAAGATGAAATTGAGTAGGTTAGTAGGATATGGATGGACTCCAAAAGGTTATTCAATGAGACCATATCAATCATGAAAGGTCTACGAAAAAAGAAAGAAAAACAGACAATTTAATGTGCAAGTGGTCCAAATGGAATTCCTTTTGTCTTTTAACATGAATTTGCTTCTGCTGATGGTTTGATTACTCGTTGGATTCTGTTTAGATCGAAAAAGTCATGACATATTATTTTCTCTTTTAACTATTTAAGTTATCAGACGACATAATTCATATCTCATAATCGACCATATACAACAACCACATGTGTTTATACGCATTAAAGATATGAATATAAATGAAATATGAAAAATCTGTTCGCTTTTGAGTAATTTAAGCTAAGAGACAATGTGAAGCATGAGTTGTTTCTTGGCATCTTTTTCTCACAAATGTACGTTCTTTTGGGAATTTGACGTTTGGACAAAGCAATCATTTCACGAAAATCACGCCTTGTATGTAGGTGGACCAGAAAGGGGTACGTGAAGACCAAAAATTCTATTTGGCATGATAAGATAACTTTGTTGATTGAATTATTGGATGAAACTTGCATGAACCATTGGATTACATTCCACGTCTTTGGAAGCACTTAATACCGTTCATTACCAGTCATTGTCCCTAGTGCGGTCACTTGAAAAGAAAAAAAGGTCAAATAAATAAGATGGAATCTTTTGAAATTAGAGGCAAGAAAAGAATTTGGATTCAAACCACGACAAACCGCACCGCACGAAGCTTCCTTTCAAAAAGCCATAATAACACTTTGGGATGATGCGTGTTTGATACATTGTATGAGACACAAGAAAATGTTACAAAAGAGGGAGATTCAAGGGTGTCGGATTTACCTTTATGCCCCTACTACTAGACTTCCCCACTTGCCCTAATGTAAGATCGTTGTTTTTCTTATTTATTTATTTATTTTTTTTAAAGAGGGGTCGATTTAAGTCAAGCTGAGGCAAGAAAATATCTTTTTTTTCTTCGTATCGTCCAATACTAGTCCTATGAAAGTCCACCTTACCTAAGAAGCCGACGGTGTATAAGAAGGCCTAATATAAAAAGGATCATGCTACATGTATCGAATTTTTTATCTACTACTCACATTGGGGATGGGGACCACATTGTTGAAAATTTTAAGTACACGCGGCCCTGCGCATTATGTGAGAGGGGGTAATCCATTATGTGCAAATGGATTAACTCGTATATAAATCCACCCGACTCTGCTTGAGATTCACCTAGAACCAGTACTATGGAAGGACAACGTGCATTTTTCTCTGCAAACCTCTGCCTATCCATGTTTCTCATTATAGTGCTTCCTGTACTTGGCCATGGCTTGGGAACTGATCAAGCCAGTTCACTTATGGCCTTGCGCAGGTCGAAAATGGAGTCTCGAGGCATGACTGCTGATGAGAAATGGACAGAAATGAGTTTTAATGGTTCTGGAAAAATGGCTTCTGATTTAGGAAATATGGCATATGATATGATAAAAGGTGGACTTCCTGGACAGCCATTAGGGGTTAAGTTTAAGCAATATGCTGGATATGTTAATGTTGATGAAAAGAAAGGAAGAAGCCTTTTCTACTATTTTGCTGAGGCTGCTGCGGATCCTTCTTCTAAGCCACTTATTTTGTGGCTTAATGGAGGTGAAAAACTCTCTTCTCTCTCTCAATCTGCACCCACACCAACATCTAGCATGCATCGTGCACATGGTGAGACTTTGGCGAAAAAATGAATCTAGTTTGCAATAGGGCGTGTTGAAGACTAAACTTCAATAAATGAGTTCTGTCTTCTCCCTAAGAGTTCAAGGTTTTAAACTAGGGGAATGCTGATTTTCTATTTAAGAGTCAGAACAATAGAAGTACCACTCTTTTGCAACTAACTGGATTCAAAGTTCCACAAAATTGGAGTAAATAACTGATATCGTCATGGTTATATAGATTCGTTTAAGACTATTAGGGAATTTTTGGTAGTTTGTAACAAACAAGATTTTAGCTTATTTTCTTAATCCTTTGTCAATTCCACCATTCAAAACCTGCCATCATTAAAAAAATTTCTTGGATACATGGTATAAATTGCTAACGTTATGTACAGGACCTGGTTGTTCATCACTTGGAATGGGGGCAATGGTTGAACTTGGACCTTTTGGGGTCAATCCTGATGGTGAAACACTCTATTCAAGAAATTTTGCATGGAACAAAGGTATATATAGGTTTTGCATATGCTTTTTATCTTATTACATGCTCACATTTACAATGGCCTCCCCATTTCCTCTTGTTATAATGCGAGCACCGCACAAAGTAATTGTATTGGCTAAACTAACCTGATTGGAGCTTATTCTTTCATGTATGTGATGCAGTTGCAAATATATTGTTTCTGGAGTCGCCTGCAGGCGTTGGATTCTCTTACTCGAACACGACCTCAGACTATGAACTGTCTGGAGACAGAAGAACCGGTAAAACACCTACAGCTACTGAACTTGAGAGAATAATGAACAAAATTTTTACTTTTTTCTTCAGTAATACACTCTAGTATGTCTAGCTACTTACAGACATGCCATTAATGAAATCTTTTCCAGTTTGAACTTGTTAAATTAAATAACATCAAAATTTTCAAAAGAATCACCAACAAGTAGATATGCAAAATCTACCATGCCAGTAAGAATTCAGGTTTCTTTAATTCAATTAAGATCACATTCTGAAATTTTTAGTTAAATAAAGAACTAGGAAAGGAAGTTTTTCAATCAACTACTCAAATCAGCTACCCTATTTTTCCAAATATTAAATTTTTGGATTATTTGTTTATGGTTCTAGTTCAATTTTCTGTCTTGTTGCAGCTGAGGATGCGTATACATTTTTGATAAACTGGTTCAAGAGGTTTCCTCATTACAGAACAGGGGATTTCTACATAGCTGGAGAAAGCTATGCAGGTAACTTCAGCCAAAAACTTCTCCTTCCAACATGTAAGAAATAATTTGTGTAAAAACTTCATAAAAAGAAAAGAATAAGAAGCTACTTTTAACGTAAGACATTCTTATGGCATTCTGATTTATTGGATATAGTCTCGACTCCAGGTATTTTTCCTTTTTTTTTTTCAAGAACTTCCTAAAGCTTCAATATAAAAGATGAAATGATTTTTCATTATTTCGAATATGGGGTGGTAGTTCATAGAAAAAGTCTCTGTCAGCACTCTGATCGAACTTCTAGAATAATTGTGACAGGTTACTATATTCCGGAGTTATCAGACGTTATTGTGAACAGAAACAAGAAGGCAGACTCATCTTCAAGGATCCAACTTAAGGGCATCATGGTAAACTTTTCTAGACATATCCCTTTAGTATATTGAATTTTTTTCAAGTTTTCTTAAACTATGGAGCAGAGTCTTCAATTTTCTGTGAGAATAAAAAATGAACAGAAAAATATATGTACCTATTATGTGTAATTGGATAATTGATGTAAAATTTTAAGAATAATTAAGATCAATTTGTGTTATTTGATATGTAGCATCACCTTCATGTGATTACTAGTGTCTAGTTGTTTTTAATCCTGCAATTTATGTAGCAATAGACCGGACCGAGTTGTCAAAAAGGAATAACAGCGGAATCCAAATTTAATGAACCTAAATTTTACTTTGTTGTTGTTGTTATTGTTGTTGTTGTTAGATATGCGTCGTCATACGAATATATATGCTGATGCTACACAGTTTCCATATATTCTTGCTTGAGAACTTGTAAACTATATAGGTCTTTGTCTATGCTTATATTATTTCTAACCTTATAGATTGGAAATGGGATAATGAATGATGATACAGACACGAAAGGCATTGTCGATTTTCTTTGGAGCCATGCATTAATTTCAGACGAAACGTATCAAGGTCTTACAGGACAGTGCAAGCCAGGAAGCTCAAGATGTGGAAGTTTAGATGTTGATCAAATTGGAACTATAGATTTTTATAACATATATGCCCCATTATGCACCTCTTCATTCAGATTGTCAAATAAGACGAGAAAACATAGAGGATACGATCCTTGTGAATCGAAGTATGTATACAGCTATCTTAATCTTCCTCAAGTACAGAAAGCCCTTCATGCAAACAGAACAAAACTTTCCCACAATTGGGAACTTTGCAGGCAAGAACCTTGATATTTGAAGAAGTTTTTAATACAATGTTTTACACACTGGATTAGACACGGTTGTTGTCACATGTTACGCTTCCTTAATTTTTCCCAGTTCTGTCTAATCTGACGTACCAAACATGCCCAACAAAATATAATTATCCTTGATATTTCTTGAACAGAATTCCTGGATGTTTAGACAAAAATTCTGTTTTTTCTCAGCTTTGTGATCAATTCCTGGAAGGACAGCCCATCAACGATGTTTCCAATATATAGGAGGCTTATGGCCTCGGGTCTTCGGATACTTCTTTACAGGTAATTATATTTCATATTTAAAAAGCTGAAGACGGATCACAGTTAGAAGCAACTGGTACTGGTTTATATACATTCTCGAGGGTTCATTCAAGTATATCTAAATAGATATTATGTATTTACAGAACACTGTTGTCATTTCATTCTATTTAGGATTAGGAATAGGCCTAAGTGGACATGTTTTCTATATATATCT